AAGCATCTTGTTATCTAGACGTACCTATACTCAACTGCCATTATATTACTGAAGATACAGAGAATCAAAGTAGAGAATTTTTATAGCTCGTTGGTCACATGACAATACATCTGAAGTTTAAGTAGTTTTAAAGGTTTCTTTTGAAATAAGACTTAAACTTAGATAACATAAAACTTCAAATCATAACATACATTATAATATTAATTTCATTCTCATACATTGAGAGTAAAGGTGTTTAATTAAATTTTGAATGTAATACAGTGACTTGTGCTGAAAAGGGTTTAAAGGGGTACCCATAGCAGAAGAGTTAAGGTTATTCCTTTTCAAATTATACCTATAATCCAAATTATGATAATTTACATGCATTATCTTGCATTTATTATAATTAAAACCAATCTGCCCTTTATTTACCCAACTCACCAAATGATCTATATATTTTTTTTATAAGGAGCAGCATTCTCTTCACAGCTAGCAACACCCAAGACCTTAATATCATCAGCAAATTTAAGGAACTTATTAATCGTTCCTTCATCTGTGTCATTGATGTAAATAAAAATAGCAAAGGTCCTAAGACAGAGCCCTGAGGTATCCCATTTGTGACATTAATCCAGATTGACTGAACTGTGTTTATAATAACCCTTTAATTTCTTCCATCCAGCCACTCTTCTATCCAATCAGCTAAATTATCTCCCACAACTACACAAAGAATTTTTTTTACAAGCCTCTTATGTGCCATCTTGTAAGAAGCTTTTTTCAAAATCCAAATACACAAAATTTACATCCTTACCCTCATCTACATAAGCAGTAACCTTTTCAAAGAATGTTAAAAGATTTGTAAGGCAAAATTTACCTTTACTCAAATCATGTTGACTATCCAATAAAAATCTAAACTTTGTTAATAGACTTTGCAAAGCATCTTGTATCAGATTTTCTAAAACTTTTCTCACAACTAATGTTGGTGAATATTAGGAAGTCAACAATATTTATATAATGGTGTTGAATATTACGAAGTCAACAATATTTGTATACTGGTGTTGAATATTAGGAAGTCAACAATATTTGTACAATGGTGTTGAATATTAGGAAGTCAACAACATTTGTATATTGTTGTTGAATATTAGGAATTAAACAATATTTCTATACTGTTGAATATTAGGAATTAAACAACATTCGTATACTGTTGTTGAATATTAGGAATTAAACAACATTCGTATACTGTTGTTGAATATTAGGAATTAAACAACATTCATATACTGTT